GAAGTGAATCATACGCATCTTGCATCGATATTATTCACGTTTTAACAACTTTAACAATAATTTTATGATATAATTCTATATAAAATATATTGTAACCTTTAGAAGGATTTAACAATGTCTATATATATAGGGTAATTTTTTATATAATTTTTTGTCTTAATTATGAATATAATTAAGGAAATCTTTATGTTTTAAATTTATATTTTTAGAAATCATTTGATTCCAAATTTATTTATTATATTTTTAATTACATATTTTTAATTTTAATGGCTATATAACATTTTGGAGAGAATATTTTTTTCAACTTTTCCGCTCTCTTCATTTTAATTTTCTATATATATTTACTTATTGAAATAATTTGGCAGGTAATATATATAAAAAGACTTTATATACAATACACGCACTACATAATGAATAGTATCTTGAACATTGTCCAAACAAATGGAATTAGTTTAAGTAGAAATACATCACAATCACAAAAATCCAAACCAAACTTTTTCTTTTCTTTTTTTTGCTAAAATTTGATAAACCAAACTTTTTCACGAGAGGATCGTCAGCTGATCGAGTCTATATATATTTTCTTCTCAGCGATTCGAAGATAATTGATTCTTTAAAACATTGGCGTGTAAGAATCCGAATCTAGACGCAGGCAAAGGGAGACTTCATAAATCAATATCGTTGCCTAAACTGAAAGCATATGCTTAGACATATACTAATAATTAAGTTTGCCATCGTTGTTACTCATTTTGAACTGTAAATAATTAAACAAATCAATCTAGCATTGTGGATTAATAAATGGGATAAATATAGCGTAGACATGCAAAAGTTAAATAAAACATATAAAGACTCTGAGACATGCACGTACTTTCGTGAAAGGTGGCTAGCTAAATGTAAGTATATATTCTTTAGACTTCAATAGTACTGTAAAAAAGAGAATATGCCTACGCCTTTTATACATCATTGTATTTCCAAATATTAGCTTAGTTAATTCTGGACTCCCAATATTGTTTTCCATACATTACTTTTTGTGACTAGCAAAGAAGACCATATACACTATTTTTAATGGTTGTTTGGAAGAAATAAATGTGTTTATGTGTTTCTCTATTTATCTTTCCACATCAACTTTTGATTTTTAACTGTGCGCAAAATTTTCAAATAGTTTGAAACAGCTTTGTCTTTGAGTATATAAGATATATATTGTTAACAAATATTTGCATGTAGCACACATTTATCTGTAATGTTTATATTAATTTATTTCTTGCTATGTATTTAACTATACGAATCGTTAACATTTCATTTCCTGTTTTTTTGTTTTTTGATAAACCATGAGAATTCTGAATCTTTGGCTATTCTAATTTAAAAATTAACCCTCATAACCAAAAGGATTTGAACCTAGGACACAAGAGAACCAATCTCTTTATGTTACCACTAGGCCACTACACATTTGGTGATTTCCTGCTCTCTTATTTTTACCGATGGTTAACATCTCATCAGCAAAAAGACAAACTAAATTTTCCCCTACAATGCGTCACAAGAAAAAGAGATTGAAGATCAAGGAGCATATAGTGTATATAGAGACTCAACGTACAGAGATTCCCCATATAGTCTAGAGTTGGGGCCTATATTTGTCTTATGACATCAAAGAGAGTGTAATGTCGAAGGGTGGTATCTTATTCTTACAAAATGGATTTTATTAGGTTTTTGTTAAAGTTACTCACATTTTTAGAGTATTCTGATTTGATTAACTTACTGTTATAACTCTTAGATTCACTAAGTTACATGTGTCAGTACCAGTATACCATTACATATAACCTAATATCTCTTTTAGACGATATATACCTAGATAGTTAGTTGGATGGATTCTTTCCTGAAATGGCACCACAAAATCGGATTTGTTGTTAAATTAATTTCGGTCCCTATTAACCTCTAGAAAACCATTGAAACATTAGCTTAATATATGTAGATCTTAGCTAGATTTCTTAGGATAGCAAGATAAACCAAAAACCACTCTAACTCAATACTACCTTTTAGC